TCAGGCCAGCAGTGCGAGGAGTTCATCTATGGCGGCTGCGGCGGCAATAGGAATAACTTCGAGACCGAGGGCGAGTGCTTCCAGGCCTGCTCCCACGTTGGTAACTAGCCGTGTGCCACATGCCATGTGCTGCAGCCGGCAGCTGCTCATGCCCCCAGCAATGGCTTGCCCGGCCCCGCTCCTGACCCACTGTCTGTCAGTGCCATGTGCCCGGTAGCGCTGGTCCGGGGAGTGCGGCGGCCTCTGCATGGCCCCTGCCTGGGGGAAGCTGCTGCTGGCAGCCACATCCCCGTCCCTGCAGGGAGCTGTTCCTCGCAGGGCTGGCAGCGACGAGCGCCGCTGCCCAGGGCGGCCGTGCCGGGGGCTGTGGCTTGCCTGGGGATGCTTGCCAGCCCGAGTACAGGGACGTGTGCCTGTGGCAGCATGGCTGCTCCCTCCTATGCCGTGGTGCCGGGCTGGAGGAGCCCGGCCCTCCCCTGGGGCTGTGACACTTCAATACAAGGACAGGTCCTTGGATGAGCACGTCTGGGTCTTGTCCTTCCTGCCCACGTGGGCAGGACTAGGCAGTGCCCGTCCCTCTGGGCTGCCCCTTGCCTGAACCGGGCGGTGGGCACCTTCAGCAGCACGCTTGGCGGCCCCAGGGCTTGCCCCTCTGGATGGGCTCCCAGCCCTGGCTTTGCCCTCAAGCTGCCGACATGACCTGGCTGGGAGCTAAAGCAACCTAATGGAGGAGAAACGGCCCCCGCCTCGATGGATGCCCGGGGTGGTGCCCATCCTGCAGCCTGCCCCAGACCCGGGGCTGTGCCTGCACTGTATTGCTGGCCCCGTGGTGCCGACCCTGGTGTGGGCTGAGCCTCCTGGCCCCAGCCCTGGTGGGACCATCCCTTCGCCAGTGAACCCAGGGTGATGCTGGGGCTGTTCCCGGAGCACGAGGGGCCACCCCAGGGCCTGGTGTGGCCAGCCCGGCACTGCCAAGATTCGGGGATGGCTGGAGGTGGCCACGCACATGCTTTATTGCTGGAGGTGGTGGGAGGGGACAGGCCAGCTGGGGCCTGTGACTACCCCGTGTCCCTTAATGAAGGTGTCTTCCTGCTGCGGAGCTGCTGCTCTCCTGTCACACAGCATCTGAAAAGGAGGACGTGCTTTTAGGGAGCCCCGAGGCTGTGGGGACAAGGGACCAGTGGCCATGGCTGCAGCTGAGCACGGCCAGCTCTGGAAAGAGCTTCCTCCCGCTCCGTGTCCCTGCGGGTCCCCTCGCCCCAAAAGTGCATCTTTTCCGGGAGCAGAGCGATGGCGCAGCAGCAGGAGCCGGCCCTGTGGCGATGCCGAGCTGGCAGTGTGCTGAGGGCTGTGCTCCTCGTGCAAGTCTGGCTGGCACCCTGTGTGCCCCGGTGCCAGCCCTGGTGCCGGCCCCAGCTCAGTGGCCCTGAGCCCCCTTACCACCAGGCACCCGTGTGCAGACGTGGCCGCAGCCGTTGCTGCAGCACTTGTGGCCCCAGGGACACTCCTCGTCGAGGCTGCACAGCTCCAGGCATGTCCCACGGCCCCTGGGAATGGGGCACGCTCCCTCTCTGCCTGCAAGGCAGAGCACCACACCATGGGGCACCTGGCTGGGGGCACCCCATGGCTCCCGGGGCAACGCCTGGGCCCTGGCTGGCCCAGCTGCATCTCACCTCCAGGGATGTCCGTGCAGACGCGGCCACAGCTGATGCGGGTGCACCTCTGTCCCCAGGGACACTGTGAGTCGGCCTCACACTCCTCTGCGCACTGCTCGGCATGGTGCTGCGGCACAACCGCGGCGTTGCTCTCTGCGGGCAGGAGAGGACAGTCACGTGGCGGCTCTGAGCTGAGACTGTGCGTGCTCATCACGTGCATGGAAAGAGGGAGGCGTGGAAAGAAGGACAGGGGCAGATCATGTCCCTGGAGCGGGGAGGGTGCGGGATCCTGCGGGCACGGCCACCTCGGCAGCCCCTGGCATGGAGCTCCAACGCGGTGACGGCGCAGGGTCCTCAGCGGGGAGGGAGGGCCAGGATACCCCTGTAGGGATGGTGCCGGGGGGACCGCAGGCCCCATCCCCACTGGGCTCAGCTGGGCAGGGGGACCCGTGCCCTGGTGCAAGGGGCTGACCTTGCAGAGAGGCTGGTGTGCAGACGTGGCCACAGCCATTGCTGCAGCACTTGTGGCCCCAGGGACACTCTTCGTCGAAGCTGCACAGGTCCAGGCACGTTCCCCCCTCGCTGGGGATGGGGCACACTCCCACTCTGCCTGCAAGGCAAGCACCCAGCTGGGGGCACCTGGCTGGGCGCACCCCACCGTGGGGCACCCCAGGGCAGCCCCGCGTGGCTCCCAGGGGGCCTGGCTGGCTCTCACCTCCGGGGATGTCCATGCAGCTGCGGCCGCAGCCAGTGCTGGTGCACCTCTGTCCCCGGGGACACTGCGAGTCGACCTTGCACTCCTCTGCACACTGGCCGCCGGCCCTGTCCCAGCTCTCTGCAGGGGCACAGCGACCCACTGTCACCCAGCCGCCCTGGGGCGCTGGCAGCCAGCTCCCCCCAGGCAGGCTGCTCCCAGTACCTCTGGGCACGGCCATGCACTCCCAGCCGCAACCGGTGTCACAGCACTTCTCCTCTCGCCGGCAGACGCTGTCATCCAGGCACCGGCTCCCGTGCCTGCGCCGGGGGTCCCAGCACGGCTCTGCCTGAGGGCACTCCCCGGGGTGCTCTGCGGGTGGAGGGGAGCCAGGCGAGGGCGCGGAGTCCCCACGCGTCCCAGCCCTGCTTGCACGCCGCTGCCCCGTGCCAGTGGCTGGGCTGCCAGCGCTCACCTCTGGCAGGGCGGGCGCAGTGCATGGCACAGCCAGAGAAGCAGCACTTCTCCTGCCGGGGACAGTCCCTGTCGTGGGTGCAGGAGTCCTCCTCCACGCACAGCTCCGGCGTCTGCCATGGCCTCACCTTCGGGCACTCACCGGGTTTGTCTGAGAGGGGCGGGAAGGGGCAGCAGGGGCAGGGGCAAGCATCTTGCCGCGCTGTGGGCACCCGCCTTCCCAGAGCCTCGAGGCACACTGATGGCTGTGCCCCAGGGGCTCTGAGCCTGCCCTGCGGCAGCACCGCCCCGCATCCTGCCCCGCAGGAGGTTTGCCAGCGTGTCCGGCAGTGTGTGACACTGCCACCCCGGCGACTGTCCCTCACCTCGTTCAGGGGCCAAGCACACGTGGCCACATTTGCTGCCGCAGCACTTCTCAGCCCCCAGGCATTGCCAATCCCCAGCGCAGGCAGCGCCGCATGGGGCCGCGGTGGTTGGCACCTCCTTGGCCAGGGGGCAGATGCCCGGTTTCTCTGGGGGTAGGAGGCAGCGGGGCTGAGGGTGCGGTGGGCGATGGTGGGGCCTCCCCCTCCCAGACCTGCAGCCCCCGCAGCTGGGGGAGGGACCCCTGCCCGCTGCTTCCCTGCCCTGCCCGGTGCGGGGCCAAGCGGCTCACACCTTGGGATGGGGGCAGGCAGATGTAGTCGCAGCCGCGCAGGCAGCACTTCTCCTTGCCGGGGCACTCGGCGTCGTGCCGGCACCAGGCTCTACAGTCGTAACTGGGGAACAGCCCCGCGCGGGCCGGGCAGAAGCCAGCCTTCTCTGCAGGGCATGGCACGGGGTGGCTGCGGTGCCCCTGGGACGGCTGCACGGACCCACACCGCAGCCCGGCCACCCCCACAGGGCATGCAGCTGCCTCGGCACCGTGGCTCCCCTGGCACCGCAGCCCCAGGCACAGCAGGCACCGCAGCACAGCCCTGCCCTGTGGCAACGCTGCAGCATCTCCTCCCTCGGGAACCACAGGGCTGGCACCAGACCCCTCTGCCCAGGGGCTGCGGAGAGGAGCCGCCCTTGCCCCCGTGGCTCGCCAGATTCAGCTGCCCACCACGTCCCTCCTTGGTGCTCAGTGCTGCACAACCACGTGCACTGGCCGCTGCAGCACGTGTCCCCACTGCCACAGTCTCCGTTGCTCTGGCACCTCGTCCCCTCCTGCCAGGCTGGTGCAGCCGTGGGGGTCCCTAAGAGGCAAACGGCTTGCGGCTGCATTTAGGGCTGGGAATGCCAGCAGGGACTGGGACACATCCATCCCCTCTGTCAGTCCTGTGCTCCCACCCAGCCCCGCTCCACGCCCAAGGTAGCCAGGGTGCAGGTCCCCAGGGGTCCCAGCCCAGGTGGGTCCCTGCAGCCCTTCCCTTCTGCTTCGCCGGGGTCCCCGTCCCCTCAGCTCCCAGCACCGCTCGGAGGCACAGCCGTGGGGACCAGGGCAGGCAGAGCTGTCGAAGCTCCGGGGCAGCTCCTGCCCCGCTCACCTTGGCCGTGTGCATGGCACTCCCGGCTGCACCGCTGGTGACAGCACACCTCGGATGGCGCACAGTCCTGGTCCTGGCGGCACCTCTGCTGGTGGTGTGGCTGCGGGGTGGCTGGGGCAGGGCTGGCGTCCTCTGTGCCGCAGAGCAGGGCCCGGCCAGCAGTGCCAGCAGGGAGGAGGTGAGAGCAGGATGGTGGCCTTACTGTCCCCTCCCCTCCCCAGCACCCACCTGGGTACTGTGCGGTGGGTCCCCACCCCAGCCCCTCTCTGCCTGTTGCGGGTAATGCTGCGGTGGCACTGCAGCCCTGAGCACTGTGTCCCCCTGTGCATGTGTCCGGGCAATGTTGGTGCATGGCCGAAGCCGCAGCCCTGCCGGCAGCGCTCACCCCCCGTGGCACCACGTCGTCAGGAGGCCCTGGCATGGGGAGGGTGCGGGGTGCGGGCGGCACTGGCCCCTGGCACAACCAGGCTCACCATGCAGCGGGGCCAGGCAGGTGAGCCCACAGGCGAGGGCGCAGCACTTGGCACTGCCAGGACAGTCGGTGTCCTGGGCGCAGGGCTCCCAGCACAGTGGGTTGGTGCCCGGCGGGGGGCTGGTGGGGCAGGCACCAGGTTTCACTGGGGATAGCAGCGAGAGGTCGGGGACAGGCAGCGGCTCTCCTGCCAGCCCTGGCAGAGCCCACCCCAGTGAGCATGGGGTAAGGGGGCCCCTGTTCTGCCACAGCTCTGTGCCTCGGGGCGGCTGCAGCCCCACAGCATCACCCCTGGTCCCCGAACCACGGCCCTGCCTGTGCTGCCCATCCCGTCCGTTCTTACTGGCTGGGGCTGCTGGCAGGCACTGGTGGCCACAGCTGCTGTTGCAGCATTTCTGTGCATTGGGGCAGTCGCTGTCACCTCGGCACTGCTCCCGGCATGGCCCTGCCGGCCCTGGCTGTGCCGCAGGGCACTCCCCAGGTTTGGACTGGTCTGGCGGAGCAGAGCAGACGTGAGGCTTCAGCATCCCCAGCTGGCTGCCCTGCCTGCCCCGGGGCTCCCTGGCCCCTTGCCATGGTCCGCACATGCCCAGCACCCAGCAGCCGCATCCTGGCCTTGGGTTTCTTTCCCTGGCAGCCACCAGGAGCTGCCAGTGTAGAGGAAGCGGCGTGCGGCTGCCCCAGGGGCCCATGGCAGCAGGGAGGCGGCAGATGTCGACAGCACAGAGGGGCCTTGCGGCTGCCCCATGTGAGCTGGGGCTCTCCTGCTGCTGCGCTCCCAGCTGGCCCCCGTGGAGACCTTACCCTGCACCGGCTCCAGGCAGGCAGGGCCGCAGCCCAGCGGGCAGCACTTCTGCGCTCCCAGGCAGTCCTTGTCCTCCAGACAGGGGAAGGAGCAGGGGTAAAGGAGACCCTCGGGGGCCGCTGCCGGGCAGGCGCCGGGTTTCTCTGTAAAACCGATTGGCGTGGGGCTGAGAGGTGAGGCTGCGCCAGCGGCGTCCCAGGGCAGCACCAGGAATCCTGTCCCTGTGGGACCGCTCTGCCTGACCCTGGCTGGACCCCGCCACATGCCCCATGCCGGCCTTGGGAGCCGTGGGCAGGAGGCTGCCAGCAGCGTGTGGAGAGCTGCTCTGTGGCAATGGGGATGGCACAAGGATGGGGACAGGGACAGGGGAGAAGGGTGCTGGCTGCCCTGGTATAGAGGTGGTGCCGGTGGCCGTGCCGCAGTGCCGTACCTTCTGCCGGGGGGGTGCAGCGGAGCCGGCACTCGTGGGGGCAGCACTTGTGCCAGCCAGGGCAGCTCGAGTCGTTGGTGCAGAGCGGGGGCTCCAGGCGCAGGCAACGCGTGAAGTCCCGTGGGCACCTCCCCGGCTTCTGGGGCTCCCCTGCGGTGGGACGGCGGCGTCAGGGCAGCACCAGGCGGCAGAGCTCCTCGCCCTCCGTCCCTTGGGGAGTGGGGCATGGGTCCCCCCTGAAGGGGACAGGGGACCAGAGCGGGGAGCACAGCCTGGGGGGCAGAGTCCTGGCAGGGGCTTGGCCTCTCGGGGCCCCAGGCCAGGGGCCTGGCTCACACAGACCCTCCCTTGCTGGCGTGGCAGTCCCCGGCCGATGGCAATGCCCGGGGCTGCCAGGCAGAGCCTGGGGTGCTGGCAGCCCTGCTGCTGTGGCAGGAGAGGGACTGGCTGGAGCGGGGCTGGAGATTCCCCTGCAGCACGGCCCCGGGGCTGCCGTACACCCACACTGAGACCTGCACTGCACAGCATGGCACAGTGTGGCATGGCGCGGCATGGCATGGCATGGCACGGGGCTGTGTGTGCCCTTGCAAGGCAGTGAGTGCCATAGGGAGTGTTGCTGGCCCTGCCAGGGAGAAGCCAGCACCAAGCCAGCACCGTCTGGAGGTCAGGATCCATCCCTGAGCATCCTGCTGCCCCGTGCATCTTCACTGCAAGTGGCATGCTCCTTGCCACTGCTTCCTCCTCTTCTTCCTCCTCCTCTTCTTCCTCCTCCTCTTCTTCCTCCTCTTCCTCCTGACACCCTGTGCTCATCTTGGCCACACTGGGAAAATCAGGACAGCCCTGCCTTTGGCAGAGGTGTGGGCGAGCTCCAGCTGGCACCCATGCCCAGCTCCTGCCCGCCGGCTGGAGGATGCCACGGGAGCAGCAGTTTCTGCAAACAGCCCTTGCCGGCTCCTGGCAGGGCCGTGCTGTTTGGGCTGCAAACAGAGACACTGCTGGGAGGTTTCACTCCAAACAGCAGCTGTTTGGTTAAAACAAAGAAGGAACCCGCCCGTTGTCTCGAGGCGGGCAGAGCAGCACCGCAGCCGGGCACAACCGCCCCCGGCATCGTCCCACAGCCAGGGGGCCCTGGCAGCGGGGGGCTGTGCCCAGGAAGTGGCACCCGCAGCCCTGGCCCCTCCACCGGAGTTTGGGTCCGTCCCCGTGGTCGGGGGCCACATGCAGGGGTGGGGAAGGGACGGGAGGTGTGAGAAGCAGAGCCCAGACACTGCGGGGCCGCAGCCCCGGTCCCCTGCCCAGCCCCTGCCTGCCCCCGCCAGCACCCTCCTCGCTCCTGCCTTCGCCACGCAGCCCTGCTCTGCCCTGAGACCTCTCCTCGGCGCCAGGCCAGGCGCTGGGCTCTGCAGGCACAGACGTCCCAAATCCAGGTCTGCCAGTGTCGGTGTGGGGGTGCCCAGGGAGGCCAGGAGGGCCCCTGCCACGCATGGCACCCCTGGGTGCTGACAGCTGCTGTGCACGCAGGGCGCGGGGGTGCGCGGTACGCACACACGCCCCTGCAGCCCGGGGTGGCAGCGGGCTCCCCGAGGCAGCGGCGCGGCGCGCAGGGACACAGCCCCCACCAGTATGTGCCAGGCAGTGCCAGCATGTGCTGAGCAGAGACAGAGGGGACATGGCAAGGGCGCGGGAGGGCCGGGTGCAAGGAGCTGGCTCCAGGGTGCCTGTGCCTGGCAGCTGCCGGGTTTGCCTGCCAGTACTCACCGCCTTTCTGCTCTGGTGCAGTGCCTGGCTCTGCCCCGAGGATGAGCAGCCCCAGGAGGAGGAAAGTCCCCAGCCTCATGGTGCTGCCAAGGATGTCGTGTGTGTCCGGAGCTGAGCCAGGGCCGGGTTTAAAGTCTCTGGCAGGGGTGCCTGGGGTGACGGGGCAACTGAAGCCGGGCTGCTGGCCATGGCAGGCTGGCCATGCCGTGGGCAGGAGGAGCAGGAGGAGGGGCAGTTCCCAGAACCCGCCGGCGCCCCGCCAGCCATCCCGCTTATCTCCGGCCAAGCTGCGCTTTGGGGTCAGGGTGACCCATGGGGCTGGGGAGGGTGGCTGGGGTCAGGCAGCCGCTGTCCCCCATGGGGCACAGCCCCATCCCTGCCCCAGCCAGCTGCGACCCCAGCCTGGGTTTCCCTCCAGGCCTGCCTGCCCCTCGCCTCCCCTGGGTGGGGGCCACGGACAGACCCCATGGCTCGGCAGCGGGAGCAGCCAGAGGGGCTCTGCTGCCATGGTGTCGCCCCACAGCCGTGGCTCGGCTCAGCCGGGCGTAGCCTCCGTGCATGCAACCGCTAGGGATCCGGCACCCTGAGATGGGAGACATGTCCTGGGTGAGCTTGGTGTCCCAGCACTGTGACGGGACTGGGCTGGGACCAGGGAGTGAGCGGGTCCTGCCGTGGCCCCTGGCACGTGGGTGCTGCTCCCTGCTCCCTTCCCTGTCCGGGTGCTTCATCTACCCCGACCCATGACTGCTTTTCCAACCAGGTTTTCACACTTTGGGATGCAAATGAGCCCTTCCTTGGTGCAAGGAATCTGAGGGAACTGGTTTCTGCGCTGCAGTCCATGACTGCCGAGGGGACATTGGGCGGCCCCCGGACCCAGTAGGATGGTCACCACGGGATGATGGTGGCTGGAGGGCGCCCGCATGGAAACGGGAGCCTCTCCCTGCCCCAGGGCAGCGCCTGCCTGCAGGGACGGCTGCCAGGCGCCTGCTTGCACCAGCCTGCCTGTGCATGGCCCAGGGCTGCCTGTGCCTCCCGGGAGCCCACAGCAGAGCCCAGGGATGGTGACCCAGAGCAGAAGGTGGCCATGTGCCGGTTTATTCTGTTTCAGTGCTGTGAAGCGGCTGGGTCTGACGGGGATGCAGGGGTTTGCCTCCGTGCCTGGGCTGCCAAGAGCCTTGCCTTGCCTGTGTGCAGCCCTCAACAGCACGGCTGGGACGGGCTGGGGGCACTGGGCACCCCAGCCAGGACCCATCAGAGCAATGCCGGTGCCATCTTGCTGGCGGTGCAGAGGGTCTGGCACAGGGATGGGCACAGGGGGTGGCGGGTGCTGCCAGCAGCAGCACCTCTTTGCTCACCCACAGGGATGCAATAGCAGTGGGGTGGGGAGCGGCCCCAAAACGGCAGCTCCTGGTGCAGCCCTTCCTGGCCAGGGCTAGGCTGTGCCTGGAAGAGATGGATGAGGCGGTCGATGCAGGATGGGTGCTCCCACCCCAAGGGATGGGGGGCCCTGGGGTGCCCCAACTCGGGGCCCCCTCAATCCCCTCCAGGCTGGACCTGCTGCAGGGACAAGACCTGCAGGGTGCTCCGGGCTGCTGGCACCCAGAAGGTGGCCTTACCCTGCAGCGGGGGGACGCACGCCCGGCCGCAGCCCCGCAGGCAGCACTTCTGGCCGGGGGGACAATCCTTGTCCTGCAGGCACAGGAGGAGGCACTCGGCCGCCCGGTCACCATCAGGCATGGGGGGACAGAGCCCGGACCGTGCTGGCACATGCAGAGAGGGAGAGGTGAGGGCTCCCCTCCTGCAGGCAGGGCACCCCTCTGGGATGGGGGAGCTGCCCTGCCCACAGGGGGTGAGCCCCTCACCCAGCTCCTGCCCCGTGGGGACAGCAGCTGGGTCCCCGTGCTCCCATCGCCTCCCGCGAGGGTCATGGCGAGGGGCAGCCCCTGGGGAGGGTGGGTACAGCCAAGGGGGTGCCAGCCCTGGCCGGGGAGGCTCAGCCTGGGACAGGACAGGGAGGGGACACAGGGGGGGCTCTTGGCCCCACGGGACACCGGTGGCTTTACCCTCGGTGGGCGGTTTGCAGACGTGGCCACAGCCGGTGGTGCAGCACTTGGCAGCCCCAGGGCAGTCGCTGTCGGTGTCACACAGCTCCAAGCAGGGTCCCAAGGAGCCCCGCAACACCACGGGGCACGCACCAGCCTTCATTGCGGCACGGCGGCTGCCTGGTGACAACGGGAACAATGGCTGTGCTGGGATCCTGCTTCCCCCAGCCCTGCTCCTGGCTCAGCCTCGGTCGCCATCCTGTCCCCGCCCTGTCCCCCATCCTCCCTCCCAGAGCCCAGGGCAGCCCTCAGCCACCAGCCTCACACCCACACCAGTCTGACCCAGTGAGACCAGTCACAGCTCAATACAGGATGCCAGCTGGCAGCTGGAGTGGTGAGGGGCAACCCTGGCTGTGGTCCCCGCCAGCACCCAGCCCAAGTGGGGTGCAGGATGGGGGTGCAGGATGGGGGGATGCAGGATGGGGGTGCAGCCCTGCCGCCCACTCAGTGCCATCACCCATCCATCATGGAGGAGCTGGCCATGGGGATCCCTTTCTGCAGCACCCTGAGGGCTCCTGCCCAGGGGTTCACAGGGCCGGGGCTGTGTCCGGGGTGGGTGTGTGGCACCGGGAGCCACAGCCGGCAGCACACGCTCCCCGGGGCCTGGATGGCTGCCACCGGCTGCACACTTGGCCAGGTACGGCTGCTGGGGCTTGTCCAGTGGCACAGCCGGGCACACACTGGGCTTTGCAGGGCAGGAGGAGCCATGCTACCACCGGTGCGGCTGCAGGGTGGACACGGGGTGGCCGCAGGGCGGCTGTGGGGCAGCCATGGGCAGTGTTGGGGGCATACACGCTTGGGTGGCAGAATGCAGGTCTGGCGTGCCCTGGCTCCGGGGGGGAGCGGAGCCTGCGGGCACCCGGCCCTGGGAGGAGGGATGGTGGGGCCGTACCTGTGTCCGCGGGGGTGCAGACCAGCCCGCAGCCAGAGAAGCAGCACTTGCGGTCCCCGGGGCAATCCCGGTCATCAGCGCAGCGGTTGGGGCAGGTGGCAGCACTCCTCTGGGCGCGCTTCCGCGGGCAGAGGCCGGGTTTGGCTGGAGGGGAGGGGAGGCTCAGGGCTTGGTGTGCAGCTGGCCTGGCCCCACAGCGCCTGCGGCTCCCCCACAGAGCGATGGGGGGCTGCGGACCCATGGGGCTGTCCCGTGGCATCCTCAGCCCGGCATGGGGACACCCAGGCCGCCTTACCTGGCTCGGCACGCATGCAGCGGGCGCAGCAGCCGAGGGTGCAGCACTTCTCCCCGGGGCTGCATGCCGTGTCGTTGTGGCAGCTTGTCCCGCAGCTCGCCCCACTGGCACTGCCGGCACGGGGGCAGTAGCCTGGGCTCTCTGCAGAGGGAGATGCTCTGTGTGGCTGTGTGCCCAGGGAGCAGGGCTCACACCAGGGGCACCCAACACGGCCAGTAGCTCCCACCCGCATCCCACCCGTCACCTGGTCCCCACGCTGGCATCTCTTGGGGGGAGCCGGTGGTACCTGTGGTGGGGAGGAGGCAGGTCCTGACCTGCCCGCTCTGGCAGCACTTCTCGGTGCCGGGGCAGCCATGGTCGGAGAGGCAGTACATCCTGGGGGGGCGAGGGGCTCCGCTCCCTGCCGCCGGGCACTCGCCTGCTTTGCCGGGGGCAGGCAGGGCGGCGGGGGGCCAGCGTCCCCGGGGGGCCCGGCGCGGTGCCGGGGTGACTGCAGGGGCGGCACCTTGGTCCCCGATGTGGTGCTGGTTGGCCAGGGTGGGCAGCAGCTCCACAAACAGCGCCAGGAGCACCAGGAGGAGGGTGCGCTCACCCGGCATGGTGCTGCTGTCAGGGGGCCGCGCTGCTGTGCCCGCTGGCCGGGATTTAAACCCTGCTGGGGTGGAGGCCGGCCGAGCTGAGCTGCTCCTTCCCACAGCAGCACCGTATCGAGACCGTGGGAGTGCTGGGCATGAACAATCCGGCTCGGGGGAGACTCCTGGGGCAGCGCTGGGCTCGTAGCCCGCAGCTGATGCATCCCCCGCAGCGTGCACTTTCCAGGTCACTGGTGACCCATGAGCAGCCAGGCTGAGGGGACGGGCAGCACCCTGGGAGCCCCACTGCCTGTGCTCCCCGACAGCGAGCAGGGATGGGACACAGGGGAGCAGTGTCCTGTCCCTGGTCCTCAGCATCCACCCAGTCCTGCCTGGGCAGTGTCACCGGTTGCCTCCTAGCGCACATGGAGTGGGAAGAAGAGCTGCTGCAGAGAGCTGTGGTGCTGAGACAGGGTGCACCAGCCTGCACCCACACTGCAGGGAGAGGGGGAACTGGCACTGGGCACTGGGCTGTGCCAGGCGGGCTGCAGGGCTCACTCTGCCCTGGGGGACAGCTGTGCTCTGTCCCCCGCCAAAGGCAGGGGCCCTAGGGGTGCCGGCCCCTCAAAGGTATGTGGGACTGATTGCTCTGGCCCTGGGGGCTGGGAGTGGGAGTGTGGCGGGTGCAAGAGGGCCGGGGCGCCAGGAGCCCTGTGGGGAGCAGGAGGTGCCAGGGAGGGCAGCGCAGGAGCAGGAGTGGGGCCCAGCTCTGAGCAGGCAGGGGAGGGACGGGGCAGGCATGGGGCAGAGGCATGTGGGCTTCACTGCCCACGGCTCCTTTGGGCTCCCGCCATGGGCGACACGCCACTGCTGGGCTGGGAACACATGGGGCTGGAGGGGATTTGGGTGACACTTGTGCAACAGCACACGCCGGCAGCCTCCCCGTCCCCTGGCCATTGCAGAGCAGAGAGCAGCTCTGCTCTGATGGGACGTGGACGCGGCTGTGCCGTGATGGCCCCACGCTGAGCACGTCTGGGCAAAGGTGGAGGAGCCAACGTGCCAGGGCAGCCCAGGCCGTGGGGCAGCCCTGGGCAGGGACACAGGCTGGGGACCCTTGGAGACATGGTGCAGCCAGTCGGCGCTGGCAGTCATGTGCAGCCCTTCCAGGCGGCCCCAGCACCAGCACCAGCGCTCAGTGGCAGCTGTGGTGGGCAGGATGTGGCCATGAGTGGGCAGAGCGGCTGCCCTGCCCATCTGGGAGCGCGGCGGGATGGAGAGGCGGCCACGAGCATGGCAGGGAGAGGCTGCTTTATTGGTGAGAGTGCAGGGGGCTGTGGTGCATCCCAAGCAGGGGACCCTGGAGAGGAAGCTGAGGCTGAAGGCTCCAAGCTGGGAGCGCAGCCAGGCCGGGGGAGTGGTGCAGGGCCAAGGCCTGGGCATGCAGGACTCGCGTTGGGCAGCAGCTTCCCTGTGGCCGGGCTGGCAGGAGGTGGCTGTGCCTGCAAAGGGAGCAGAGGGCCATGAGCGGGATGGGTGCGTGGGTGCTGTGCTGAGGGTGCTGCAGGATGCCTGGGGTTGGTGGGCATCCGACTGACCTCAGTGGAGGGGTGTCACACAGGAGACCTTGCCGCAACCGTTCCTGCAGCACTTCTGGCTCCCGGAGCAGTTGGAGTCCGTCTTGCACTGGTTTGTGCAGACGCCCAGCATGGGGATCCCCGGACTGACGGGTGGGCAGGTGCCGGGCTTCTCTGCAAAGGTGAAGGGACATGGCCTGAGACCCCTTGGTCCTGGCACAAGGCGCAGGGCCAGCCCTGCAGCTCCTGGAGCCGTGGGCATAGCCCCAGTCCCTGGCTGCCGCAGAGGAGGGACCCCTGTGCCGGCCGGCAGCTCCCCCACCCCATGGCTCTGGCCATCGGCACAGCCTGACCCGATGTGGACACGTTGGGGATGCCATGTGGCGTGGTGGTCCCCTGCGGTCCCTGTGCTCAGGCCTCCTGCTCAGGGGTGCGTGGCCGGCACAGGACGCACAGCTGCAGCACACAGCCCCGATGGCAGCCTCAGCCCCGCTTTCCCCCACTGCCGCTGTGGACAGCCCTGGCCGTGTGCTTGTGGGGCGTGGGCTCAGCTCAGGCCTCAGCGGGGGGCACGTGTGCCCCAGGCAGCCTGTGCCCTGGCTGCATGGGGCCCCTGCCCTGCCGTCCCGCTGCCTGCCGCTGCCTGCCACCGGCACTGGGCTCCTGGCTCTGCACCATGCTGTCCTCCACTGCAGCACAGCCGGGCCAGCTTTGTCCTTGCAGGTGGCGATGGAGGTACCGGAGCCTCTGTTTCGCATCCACGTTTGCAGCTGGAGATCCCAAATCCTGTGCCTGTCTACCGGGGCTGCTCTCCGGCAGGACCAGCGTGGTGAGCCCGTGGGGCCATGTCCAGCGCAGGGCCGGGGATGATGCCGTTGGGAGACTCTTCCCAGGTTCGGGACTGGGAGGCAGGACGGTGCCCACATCCCAGCCCGGCAGCTGCCCACAGTGAAGCTGAGCATGCAGTGAGGGCTGCAAGGGGGAGCAGCGCAGGCCCCTGCCCTCTGCACTGCCCCAGTGTTGTTCGGAGGTGTCTGCTCAATCCCCGTGTCGCTGGGAGGAGGAAGGGGTGAGCGCAGCCCGGGCGAGCCCGGGCGGAGGGTGCACCATGCTGGGAAGCTGCCCCATGGGAGCACACCCTGACCCTGCCGGGGTCCCCACGCAGACCCCGATACCCGCACTGCAGCCAGACGTGCAGGGGACACCCAAGCCCACGGCTGCTACCGTGCCCCGGACCACCAGTGCTGCCAGCTGGGACAGGCTGTTGGCTCGTGGCAGCAGGGCCAGCTCCAGGCAGTGGGGCCAGGAGCAGGAGGGAGTGTTACCGTCGGGCTTCTGGCAGGCCTTGCCGCAGGCTGCCGGGCAGCACTTGAGGGTGCTCTCGCAGTCGCCATCGGACTGGCACCCCACCGTGCAGTTCACTGCTTCCGTCGCCGGGTCCGGGCACACGCCAGCTTTCGCTGCAAGGCAAAGGCGGAGGGCGTGGGTGGGCACCGGGGCTGCCGGCCCCGCAGCAGGGCGAGGAGATGCTGCCGCCAACCCCAGGGCTGCGTCCAGGGATGCTGCTGAGCCCAAATGCGCCAGGCGCCGGCTGGCTCTCGGTCCCGGCCCCCACCCCAGCAGGCCCCGGGGCTGGGAGTGATGCTGGCCGCTTGCCCGGGGCGTGCCAAGCCGTGCCGTGCTGTGCGCTCATACTCACTGGTGACATTCTGGGCGGATGCTGGAGGCAGCTCTGCCCAGAGAGCCAGGAGCCCCGCCAGGACGAGCATGCTGCGGGCCTTGGGCATGGTGCGGGAGCCGGCGCTGTGCCTGCGGCCACCCGGCCGGCCTTTAAGCTCCTCTCCAGGTGGGGCCGGCGGGCGGGAGAGCTCGGCCTTCCGGGTGGCTCCCAAGGGCCGGGCAGGGCCAGGCTCCCCCTTCGCGCTTGCACAACCTGAGTATCAGGTATCTGCCGCTGCTGGCTGCTGACCAGGAAGGGGGAGCCTCGAGGAGACCGGGCGGCCATGCCGAAAACTTGCCTGGCAGGAACAGCAGCCAAGCGCCGCTGGCCGCAGCCCCCGTGCGCCGCATGCCAGACCCCAGCCCCCACAGCAGCCGGGGTGCAGGGCTGTCATGGCCCCGCACGGGGCTCGGCCACTGGAGGCCACAGGGATGCTGCTGGTACCACCAGCGGGGAGCGTGGCAGGCGTGGGTGCGCCAGGGATGGGGCACGACCCATCCCTGTCTACACCCTGGCCATGGTCACAAGCTCGAGTGGAGCCCCCGGCCTGAACCAACA